TGGGTCGGGTGACCCAGGCCTAGCACTCACCCACCTGTCACCCACCCACTCGGGTGACCCAGGCCTAATGTTGACCCACCTGTCGCCCACCCAGGCTACCTGGCCTTGACCCGGCCTCATCCCACCCAGGTCACCTTATCAAGACCTGCACCTGACCCAATGTCCTCATGGGTGGGGTGGGTGCAGGTGGGTGCGGGTCTGGGTACCCGGTGCTCATCTCTGGTGAGAGGGGCAAACCACGACGGGGATGTCGGGAAGCCGACTACTAAGGAGGGCGCAGGTGTACACTGCACCGTGGCTGGGAGGCGCCGCGGGGATGCGAGGCGTCGGGGGAGGACTGAGCACGACGCTGGCGGTAAAGGTCAGCGTAGTGGCGGTCAAGGGCGGCAGTGTAAGGGCACCGCGAGGAGGTATGACCGTCCTTGTGACAGCGCAAGCACCCACGCCGGCCCAAAATAGCCGTGCGCTCCTCAGCGGAAAGGACACCGCGAGGAGGGACAAAGCCCTGAGGGAGGTCCTGCTGAGGGACCTTGGGGGGCGACGCGCCAGCGTGACCGGGGCGGCTGCGTGCCTGGGAGAGGGCGGAGAGGATGAGCTTGAGGCGCTCGGCCATAGGGAGAGTATAGTCCTCCAGGTGGTAGTGGACGGCCTTGCCGAGGTCGAGGTCGTTGCTATGGTCACCCTCGGGCGACAGGGGGGCAACAACGTTCTACTCACCATACTCGAACGCGCTGAAGCAGCGCGATAAGTGGCGGCCCTGCTGCGCAGAACGGCGGGGGCGACCGCGGAAAGGGAAACAGCGTTGGGAAGTGTCGTGAGAAGAGGGGGCGTAACCAGTACGCTGAGGCTGGGAGGAGGAAGTGGGTTGAAGACGGGCCCAGATCCGCTGATGGTCCCTGGCGGCTTCGTAAGCCTGCGGGGCCGATGTGAACTCGTACCGCCATAACTCGGAGTGGTACTCGAGCGGAAGGCTGGCCAAGAAACGGACGATAAGGGCAACCTCGGAGAGGAATGCCACGTCACAAATGAGGCGGGCGTCCTTAAAGACCTGGATGTGGCGATCCAGGCCGGCAGCGCCACAAGAGCCAGACCAGCGTGTAGTGACGACACTCTTGAAGGCGTCAGACACGTCATGTCAGGCTCCGAAGCGATCCTCGAGGAACGCCTGGAAATCCATGAAGGTCGGAGTCCGACCCGCATGAAGGGAGTAAGCGTAAAAATCCTCCCAGATGTCAAAAGAACTACCACGTAGGCGCGTGGAGAGGTGACCCACCCACGTGTCGGGTAGGGCGCCCATGAGTTGGAGGGTGCGGGTGGCAGACTGTAGCCACCGGGACACGCGTATGCCCTTACCGTCATACAAGGCAATGTCTGTCAAGCGGACGAGTGGTGCGCCACCGTTTTGGCGGCGAGGGGATCCAGGAGCAAAGGCATATGCCACGACTGAGTAAGTCGGCGCAGGTCGTGGAGAAAGGGGCGCAGTTGATTGTGCGCATGGGCCGCATGGGGGAGCGGCGGGGCTAACAGCGGCAAGCTGCGAGGGAGCTGCGGTAGAAGAGGTCGCAGCAAACGCGGGAATAGGAAGAAGGTAGGATGGGGTTGGATAGGGTGCAGGGCGAGGGAAGCGAGCCTGCATGGAAGGAAGGGTAGAGGAAGGAGGGGGTGCGCCCAAAGGCGTAGCCACCTGTGAGGGTGGGGGTGGCTGAAGGTGTAAAGGGGCGAGGTCGGTCCAGGTATGAGCAAGCTCGTCCTCGAGACATTGGACGTAGATCGAGCGAGCAGTGACAGAAGAAAGAGTGGGGGGAGTGGACGCAAGAGCGGCGCGGGGCATCCCACAGGGGGAGAGCCAGGTGGTGCTGCAGTCGTGAGAAGGGGAGGGAGAAGCGGGGCACCCAGAAAAGTTGAGACCATGGTAGCGGGTTGTGGTCTCGTGGCCGTAGTGACCGGAATCTGGGCGGGTGCGCCCGTAGAATGAGGGAGGGTCTGGCCCGTGACGACCGTCGTGCTAGGAGCGTGGATGGTCATCTGGATGGCCGGGTCGGGGACGGCAGAGGAGGAAGTTCCACCGTGGCCACCATGTCGGAGGACGGGGGACCCGGACTGGGAGCCAGGAGAAGAGAGAAAGTGAGGAGAGGAAGGACGGTCAGCGTCCTGGAGTTGCCGCAGACCAGCGGTAAGAGTCACCATTTGCGCCTGTAAGGGCGCAAGGAGGGAGGTGATGAGGGTGAGCAGGTTCCCCCTGGGGATGGTGGCCCTCGTCCGTCGGCACGGGTGTGGAGCCCGATGCCAAGGTCGTCGCCGCCTCGGCGGCTTGTGACACGCCGTCAGCCATGGGGAGGTAACGGGCCGGGCTAGGGAGGGTCGGAGGAGGTCCACGTGAGCGGAGGGCGTAGGGGGAGGTCTGCGATAGAAAGCGACGGGCGGCACTAGGAAATCGAGTGCGAGCGCCGTCAAAGGGGGAGGGGTGGTTGGGATCCAGGGTGGCCGAATGAGAAGGGAAAGTAGGGGGGGGTAGAAAAACACCTAAACCCTAGAAAAACCCTAAGAAAACCCTAACCGGAGTTTGAGTGGTTAGGGTAGGGTACCGGTGACCTAATCAAGAAAATAAAATAGCAAGCAGGGGGTGGAGGCAGGAGAAAAATAAATAAACAGCGAGGTTTCGAGAGGAAAATAAAAATAAATAAGAAAATAAATAAATAATAAAAATAATTAAAGAAATAAGTAATATTTATTTTTTTTAGAATTTTCGGCAACATTTCCCTACCCCCCATGGGGTCACGAATGTGCCAAGGGGAAAGGAGAGACCAAGATAAGCACACTAAGTTTCAAAATGCCACAAATTAAAATTTTAAAAAAATAAATAAATAAATAAATAATAAATAAATAAATAAGTGAATAAGTGGATGAGGAGGTGAAGAGAAATGAAGTACCTGACTTTTCAAAAATTTCGGCAGCATTTCGTTACCCCCATGGGGTCGAAGTGTGCCGAGAAAGACTAAGTGAAAGAAAAACAGAAAATTTCGGCAGCACTTCATTTCCCCCACGGGGTCAAAATGTGTGTCGGAAGCAAGAAAAACCAACTCCTAGTCAGATTTAAGAGTGCCGCAAAGAAATTCGAATTTTCAAAATAAATAAAACAAAAAAAATAAAATAAATCAGAAAATGAAAAGGGAGGGGTGGAAATAAGATAATTCGAATTTTTGGAGAAAAGAGAAGATTGAAATCAAAGAGAAAGGGAAAAGAAGAAAAACAGAAAAATTCGGAGTAGGGCAGGGGGCAAGGGGTTGAAAGAGTGATGAAGAAGAGAGAGATAGGTAAGAGAGAAAGAAGAAGTGAAGTGGGAAAT